CATCAATCCAACCGGTTAATCCCACTGCTGGGCGATGGGGCTACCTGTAATAGCTCCGGTGAAGCTGCGTGGATGTGCAGAGGGCTTTGAAAACTAGAAAGCGCTTGAGTTGAGGCACTTGGATTTTGGGGCTTAACTCATGCTTTTAATGCTCCTGGTCCCCAGAAGGTCTGCTTGGTGCTTTTATCACTGCAGTGCTCTGGGTTTCCAGGCAGGAGCTGGACTCCTGTCCATCGCGGTGGACGGAGAGATAGAGATGGGTCCAAGGAGATGGGAAGATGCTCCAGCACTTTGCCATCTCTTGTCCATCTGCTGGTCCCTTTTCACCCACCGTCCTCCCACACTGAGAAAGGAACAACCGAACAAGGGGTGAGACAAGCCTGGAGATACTTGAGAAGTTCAACCTGGGCAAACTGTTGGTGGAGCGGAGCCGGGAATGTTTTTTTTTCCCTACCCCGTAAGGTCAGTGGGAAGTTGTTGATCGGCCCAGTAACCCAGCTTCGCCTTCCTCCCGCCCTCCACCTCCTCCTGCCAAGCTGCTTCATGGAAAATGTTAATTAACGTCATTCCTGAGGCTGAGCCGGGACCTTGCACCAGTTGCTGCCTCTTCCTTTGCCAGATCCGTGCTAAAGAAGGCTGCGCCCTGCAAACCCCCTCGTCTCCGTCCCGCTCCCTGCGTGCATTGGAGCCTGTGGGGCCATTTAAGGCTTTGTGGGTCGTTAGCAGCACCTTAAATTTCACCCAGAGCTGTCTTGGCAGAGTCTCGACCGCGGAGGCTGCCAGCCAGGCACCATCCCAGCACAGGGCAGCACTGCTGGTCTGGGCTGTGGGGGGAACCCCCGGAGCGGGGAGACCGGGATGGGGACAACATCACCGGGATGATGGGATCTTCATCAGCACCGGGTGTAGATGGGGGAGGAGGGGTTCCCCGGGGCTTTTTAGGAGTGCTCTTGGATTTTCTGTTGTCTCCGTTGGATGGGACCAGAGGGTTTGGTTTGTTTTTTTTTCTTTTTATGGTCCAACCTGCGGGCTGGCGGGGGTCCCGTGGGGGTATAATTAGCCACCCCGACAGGTGGAAGGGATCGGATGGCCCCCGGCGTGAGGTCGCACCCGCCACCCCGCAGCCCCGCTCGCCTTCACCCCGCCTGACGCACGACCAGCGGCGAACCGCCTTACGGCCACCCAGCCCCGGCGTGTTCGCTCTGGTGTGCAGGGCAAGAGCAGAAGAAGTGCTGTAAATAAACGGAAGGGGCTTTTCCAGCCACCGAGCCCGGCGGGGAGGCGATCCCAGTTTCACTATCCCAGCCCTAAAAGGGCGGTGATGGACGGGGAGTTACGGAAGAAGGGCCGAGCGCTGGGGAGCAGCGTGGAAAAGCCATTAGAAACCCGAGCCGGGGACGCAACCCTGGGATTAGTCGCACACGGTTTGTTTTCTTTATTAAGTATCTTTTTGCCATGGAGCCAATAAATGTGGTCTGGTACAATGATTGACTTAGAGGTTGGTGCTGGTGAGAGTGCTGGGGAGGTGGTGTGTCCCCATACCCAGCTGGGACCACGGCACCATCGTCCCCCCACAGCAAGGATTTGTTACTGGTCCCTTGGGTGCCCTGCTGGGAAGAAACAGCCACGTTTCTCGGCTTTTCCCCAAAACAGCATCTTCCCTCGGCACAGCAGCATCACCACCGGCAGCGAGGGTGATGCATCCAACTACCTGAAAGGAGGTTGTAGCGAGGTCGGTGTCGGTCTCTTCTCCCAAGGAACAAGTGATAGGACAAGAGGAAATGGCCTCAAGTTGCATCAGGGGAGGTTTAGATTGGGTATTAGGAAAAATTTCTTCACGGAAAGGGTTGTCAAGCGTTGAAAGAGGCTGCCCAGGGCAGCGTTGGAGTCACCATCCCTGGAGGTATTGAAAAGAGGTGTAGACGTGGTGCTGAGGAACATGGATTAGTGGAGGACGTGTCAGTGTTAGGTTAATGGTTGGATTTGGTGATCTTAAGAGTCTTTTCCAACATAAACGATTCTATGATACACGTGGCGGTTTGAGGCCAGGGCTCTGTTTTCCTGCTCTCTCCCTTCCCAAGTCCATTTTGTGCTGGAAACCACAATACAGGAGTGGATCTCACACCCTTGGGCAGAGGCTTTGAAGAGCTGCCACGCTGGTGATAAATATGAATGATCAACATCAGGTGGGTTCATAATTACAAATGGTCAGGGTTGGAAGGGACCTCTGGAGATCATCCAGTCCCACCTCCTGCCAGAGCAGGGGCACCTCCAGCAGTTGCACAGGACGGCGTCCAGGCGGGTTTGGAATGGCTCCAGAGTGGGAGACTCCCCACCTCTCTGGGCAGCCTGTGCCAGTGCTCTGCCACCCTCACAGGAGAGAAGTCTCTCCTCAGGTTGAGATGGAACTTCCTATGTTCCAGTTTGTGCCCGTTCCCTCTTGTCCTGTCACTGGGCACCACTGGAAAAGGACTGTTCCCGCTGTCCCTAATTAATAGGCTTTCAGATGACACCATCATTGCAAGGGTGGAGCACCAGAGATGGTGGTGGACTGGAAACCTTCCAGCGTGCAGTAGATCTGATGTACTGATTCTCCCCCTCTGCTGCACTCTGGGGAGACCCCCCTGCAGTGCTGCCTCCAGCTCGGGGGCCTCAGCACAGGAGAGACATGGACCTGCTGGAGCGGGGCCAGAGGAGGCCACCGAGATGCTGGGAGGGCTGGAGCCCCTCTGCTGGGAGGACAGGCTGGGAGAGTTGGGGGGATTCAGCCTAGAGAAGAGAAGGCTCCAGTTGAACCTTGTTCCAGCCTTTCAATACTTAAATGGGGCTTCTAAGAAAGACAGAGGGAGACTTTTTTCCAGGGCCCTTAGTGACAGGACAAGAGGAAATGTTTTTAAACTGAAAGGGGGTAGGTTTAGATTGGCCCTGAAGGAAGAAAAGCTTTATGCTGAGGGTGGTGAGACACTGGCCCAGGTTGCCCAGAGAGGTGGTGGCTGCCCCATCCCTGGAAACATTCAAGGTCAGGTTGGATGGGCCTCTGAGTGACCTAATGCAGAAAAATATGTCCTTGCCCATGGCAGGGAAGTTGGCGTAGATGATTCCGAAAGGTCGCTTCCAACCTAAACCGTTCTAAGATTCTATGAAACATAGGATTTTGGAGTCACGGCACGGCCCGAGTGCTCTTCAGAGATGACTCTACTTTCAGGTTGCCCGTTGGGTTGTAGACTTACTTGCCATTGAAGCTCCTTCAAATAGATGGGGGAAATCATAGGGACTGGGTTTCTTAATGAATTTTCAGTGGAAGGGCGGTGCTGTCACTGCCCCGTCCCCCCCATCGAGCCGATGTCCGTGGGTCCATCTGGATCCTCAGTCCTCCTGCTGTTCTGTGCCATTCCCAACCTCCAGCAGATGAGCTCCTTGCTCCGCTGTCGACTTCAACCGTCGGCCCCAGGCGGTAGAGCTGCCGAATCCTTCTGCCCTTTCAAGGAGAGAGCTTCCACAGCTCAGCGGGGCTGCTGCTTAATCCCAAAGGTCACCGTGGGGAGCTGCTCCCATGCCCCCAAAGTCAAGTTGCATCAAAAGGGCAGGAGCTCACCTATATCCCGCATGGTCAGGGAGATACGTTTTTACAAACAGGTGAGAATGATCATGCTGAAGCCCTCACTGTGTTTCTCTTCCTGTGAATTTGTCCCATTTTCCCCCAAACCTGTGCAAAATTTGAGCATCTGTGCTACCCTGTAGCAAGGAGCTTTGCAGCATGGGTGTCCAAGTGTGGAAGGACTCACGGAAGGAAAAAGCTGGCTGCGTCTTTGCTCGTGGAGAAGGTGAACAGGCAGATGGATCCTGGTGGTGTGGGCCTTTCGTTGTGCCATGTGTGTTGGGTTGTGTCATGCCATGGGCGCCACGGTGTGGTGCCTGTCGCCCTGCAAGAGCCAAGGTGGGCTCATCAGGTGGGGTGGGAGGGAGGGAGCATCCTGGGTGGGAGTTGGTCCTCCCAGGGCATTGTGGGACCAAGCAGGTGCTCCAGGACCTGCTCCCACTCTGCATCCCTTGGGATATGCTGGGACGAGCTCTCTGGGTCACTGGGTGTTGCTGTCACGGTGTTGGGAACAGTTGGAGATTAGGGAGAAGTTGTTCTTTCTCCCTCCCTCCGGCCAACGTTCCCAACCACCCAGATAGAAATCACACCTGAAGGTGTCTCTTCTGCCTCGCTTTCATCTCGTCCTGCCTTTCCAGCTGCCAAAAAGTGCCGTTTCCCAGCAGAAAGCCTTGTGCGGGGGAAGCTGTGAAGCACTGCTGATGTCTCCTTCCCACCGGCACAGCCAGCGGCTGCAGGGACAGCTGTGAACGTTGCTGGTGGGAGCGACTGAAATGCTGAGCTGGGAGCTCAGAAGCGCTTTTAGGAGCGAACCTTTTGATGCCATTGTTTTCCCAGCCCCATGCTGTGGCCACGCTAAGCTTCCTTGGACAGGAGACCATCAACCAAGCTCACTTCTGAGCCCTGAGCAGAGCAGGTTGAGCTCCAGCCTTCAGCCACCTTCATCAGGAGGGTGGTCCAGGCAGTGATCCCAAAGAAAGTCCTAAAAGGAATGTGCTTCGTTCCTGCTCTTTCCTGCTCCTCCCCAAGTCCCAAGCATGTCTGGGACAAGAAAACCTCTCCAAAACCAGCTTCTCCAGCCCAGCTAACCTCTTTGGGACCTCACAGCATCATCACCTTGGGGGTAAATCATTGCTGTTTGGTGGTTTGGATCCATAAAATCAGGCATTTGGAAAACTGTGGGTGACAGTGTAGATACTCTCTCCCAGAGGAGAGTATTATTTTTAACAGTATTTTGGCATGGAATAATATTTTGGTACGGAGAAGGAAAAACCAACACACCCTTCTCTTTCTTTAGCAAGGTGGTGGTGCCACTTGGAGGAGCCCAACTCCAGGAACCTGTGCTCCGTGTGGGGCTTTCGCTGCTTTTCCCAACTTTCCTCTCTTTTTTTTTCCCTCGCAGTGCAAGAAGAAGCACACGCTGGTTTGCCCTGACTTTGCCAAGAAAGGTGTCTGCCCCAGGGGCACCCGGTGCAAACTGCTGCACCCACAGAAGAAGCGCCATGCAAGAGAAGCCCAAGATGGGGACCGCAGCGACCCCCCTGCCAAGTGGAGACGGGTCTGGGAGGAGACAAGCAGGTAGGAAAAAGCAGAAGAAAATCACTTTGCTGCTCTTAAACAGTTTTCTTCCCCACCTGCTCGGGATGTTTCCTCTTCCAGATGTGTATCCCTCTGCATGCCAGTTTATTTTAATCACAGAATCACAGACTGGTCAGGGTCGGAAGGGACCTCTGGAGATCATCTCGTCCAACCCTCTGCCAGAGCAGGGGTACCTCCAGCAGTGGCACAGGACGGCGTCCAGGTGGGTTTGGAATGGCTCCAGAGTGGGAGACTCCCCCACCTCTCTGGGCAGCCTGTGCCACTGCTCTGCCACCCTCACAGGAAAGAAGTTCCTCCTCAGGTTGAGATGGAACTTCCGATGGTCAAGTTTGTGCCCGTTACCTCTTGTAACGGGGGGTTCTGGGACCTCTGCCGGTCTGGTCCACGCTCTTGCCTGGTCCTGGTCCTCATCCTGGCCCTGCCTTGTAAGGTAGCAGAGGGGGACAAGCGCTCAGCGGGGCTCTCCCAACTTATCCCAGGTGACAGAAGAGCCTTGGAATGACACCCACCTCACGTCCCCAGTGTGAACAAGGTGTAAAATAGCTCCTTGCTCTTTTTTAGGTAAGGAGGCATGAGCGCAGCACTGGGTGAATGGGAAGAAACCCCACTTCCCATCCCGGGGCCGGTTCCTGGCATCCTCCACGGGGAACGGAGCACACCCAAGCTTGGAAGCTGTTTGGGAGGTTGTTTAGTTGGGTTTTGTTTTTCCCCTTTTATTGTCACCGTCATCGGAGATGTTGGATGAGCTGAAGCATCGTGTTTGCTGGGCTTGGAGGAGGGCGGCAGTGTTGAGGCTGTGCCAAGCCCCCGGGTGGGCATCTTTGAGCCATCCCTCCTCCCTACACCCTCCGTCTGCCCTCTTCTCCACTTGCTCTGCCCAGTCAGCACCCGAAGGGCAGCCCAGCACCTCCACGAGCATCCGAGAGGTGGAAACCTCATGGAGAACCGCAGACGGGGGAGATATCCAGCTGGGGAGTGAGAAACTCCAGCTGAATCTGAGCTGGCTCTGGGGAAATCGGAGATGTGGAGCAGCCTGGGATGGAGCTCAGAGAGCCTCCGTGTGCAACTCTGGTGGTTCAACCCATCCTCTTCCATCACACGTGACATTGCCAAGATCATTTTATTTTTGTCTTATTTCTCACCTACTGCAGGAATAATCCAGCTCAGGTCCACGATGATGGAGAAATGCCGGGACCCTCCAGCGCGGAGCAAGAGGTGAAGTTTTGGAAAGAGACAGACACCTCCTCAACCAGCTGGCTGCAAAAGCTGCCATCCTTCATCTCCCTCCAGTCTTCACCGTGCCCCGGTGATCAGGGCTGCAAAGTGGAGAAGGACGAGGATGAGTCGGAGGACGAGACAGGTAGGAAGCACTTGCTCTGCTTTTGCTCACGCGTGCTCCCAGCTGTTCCGATTCACGGAGCCGAGGGGAGTTATTCCCCCGCTGCTCTCCGTGGGTTTTGGTAGGATCGGTGTTTGTCGTGAGTCACCAAACCAGTTACGCTGGGAGCTCAAACTGGGATGGCAACTGGGATTCGCAGTCTCTGTGCACGCAGGGACACGAGCCCCTGGCTCTGCTCCTGAAACAACGCAGAAGGATTTTGTTCCTAGCTTTTATCATCGGCTCCTTCTTCCTTATCCTATAAATCATCCAATGATGAATCCAGTCTTATTCCTGTGATAGAACCACAGTGGTTCCCGGTAGGAGGAACTGCATTTCAGAGGGATGCAGTGATGTTGTGCCTCATCACTGGACCCGCAGAAGGACCTCTGGATCATCTCTGAACCTGCAGAAGGACCCCTGAATCATTCTCTGAAACCACGAAAGGACCTCTGGATCATCTCTGAACCAGCAGAAGGACCCCTGGATCATCTCTGAAAGGACCTCTGGATCATCTCTGGACCTGCAGAAGGACGTCTGGATCATCTCTGAACCTGCAGAAGGATCTCTGGATCATCTCTGGACCATCCATCGCACATGTTTCCCCATGTGAAATAGCTTTGAAATAAAAACATCCCTGGTAAGAAGTGGGATGAGGTGTTTGCAGATTGCGAGTTCAAAGGAAGAGCTGCGTTGGTCTGAGATGATCTGCTTTGCTTTTTTATTAAAAGGTGGGGCAAGAGGCTTTGGAAATCAGTAAAATTTTTAGAAAACACAGTTTTAGGACGAGCAAAACTTCTTATGAACTCTGACACGTGAACGCAAACAGCTTCTGCCTCGACTTTTTGTTTTAATTTTGGAAAAGTTCAGAGAAATGTTTGAAACTCGACTGAATGGGGTGGAGGGGGGAGGCAGGAGAAAATCGTTGAAGCAATTGAGAAGAAACGTCTTTGTTTTCTCTGCAAAGTGGCTCGTGGTGGAGGTTAGCTGCATTTCTGCTTCTCCAACATTTGCCTTGGTTCCTCTTCTCCTAATTCAGCTCCTGCACTGGAAAATCTCTTAATCGCTCTGTGGGAAGGGACGGGACTTCGGGGCACTCTGGGGATGCGTCCGCAGGAGCAGAGGTGATGGAGATGGTGAGGCAGAGATTGTGCCTGGTCCTTCCCAGCGCTGGTTGAGAGGTTTTTGGCCAGATGATGTTTCGCGCTTTCCTTTTCATCTCCCATCCTTCGCTGGAGGGATGTGCGGCGGCTGCACCTCCTGAGCACCATCGCAGAAAGTGGAGGGGCAACATCTGGCTCAGAAATCAAAATATTTTGGGGCGGTGAGGATGAAATCCCAACTGCCAGCTCGGTTGGCACAAAATGTGGTTCAGTATGAAGCGAAGGGCTGGAGCATCCCTCCTTGTCTTCGATCCCGTGCCTTCTCCGAGCCAGAGCAGCATCCCACCAGGAGAAGGGATGAATTCAGCGCCGAATGCCGGGCTGGGGCATTTTGCCGGCTCGTCCGTAAGAGGGTGAACAGGATCCGCGAGGCTTTGCCTGGCTCGACCACGAAACGCTTCGAGCCGGGGAGGGCTGAGATGCCTTAACGCTGTCGGAAAGAAAATTCCCAGGATTAACAACATATTCCTGAAGGCACAGGCGAGCGCGGGTGCTGTCGAACCGTGGCGCAGTGTAGACAGCGAGGGACCGTTCCGGCTGGGAAAACTCCTCTCCGCGACGCGGGGTAAAGCAGTCGGCTTCCCTTTCTGGGGATTTCTTCCCCCCTCCGCGTGCCTCCCTCCTTCCCTCTCCTTGGCCCTGATTCAACTCCCTTTTGATCTCGGCGGCGGGGCCGGGGAACCGTTCCCAAAGCAGAGGCTTAATCAGGGTTTTTTTATCACTGCGATGAAGACGGAGCAATTAATCCGCGGACAAGAAAGCTGTCGAAACGCTTTGGATTGCACTCGGCAGCCTGGAATAACTCGATTGAGAGGGCGGAGGCGTCATCCTGGCAGCGAGGGCATCCTTCTCCTCTTAACTCCAGTTTCCACGTTCAGGGGTGGATGATTTCCAGGTGTTTCGGGATGGGAGGATGAGTAGAAGGAGCTGATTCGGTCCGGGGATGTTGGGAGGAAGGCTGTGGGTACGGAGTTGGGCTGTGCATCCCTCGGTGCTCCGTCGCTTTTGCCCGGGGAGTACGTGGCATCGGGAAAGCGGATGCTGGAGAATCCATAGGGAAGGAAAACCGAGCAGGAATTGCAGCTGGCTGTAAAACTGTCTGATGATGAAGCAGTTTCCGTGCCAAGGGGATTCGGCGATGGCGTGCAGTGAGTTCGGGGGGTGAGAACGCTCTTCGGCGCCTTGGTTTGCCCGTGCTCGGTGCTGGGGTGCGCTCGGTAATTAAAAATCTCATCTCAACACACAAACGAAGGGACTTGGGGGCACAGCAGCAGGTGGGGACCTCCATGACCTAACGGGGAAAAAAGGAACCCTGACCACAAATGAGCCATCATCCTGAGGGCACAGGATGAGGCCATTGATGGTGTTAAAGGTGGCCAAATGCTTCATGGTGGCCAAATTACCAGGACCGGTGCTTATGAGCTTGAAGAGCTGTTTTTGAGCGGAGCGGGTGGTCAGGATGAGTCCTCGCGTAGCTTTAGGTAGTAGCTGGTGACTACGATGGGGTTTGGGGGTCTGCACCTTCCCCGCTGCAGCCTTTGTGCCAAGGATGACGTTCGGTTTCTGCTTGTAAAGCCTGAAGGTGACACACAAATTGGTGGGGTAGTAAATAAGGAGGAGGACAGGTTATTATTACGGAGTGATGTGAATTGCTTGGTTAAACGGCCACAATTTGAGGAAAATGCCCTTTTAATACTGGCAAATGCGGGAGGAATGAAGGAAAAACACTGGCTCCATGTGCAGGAGGGATGGAGCTGGGGTTTGGAGATGACCTTTAAGGACCAGCGTGGGCAACAGCATCAGCTTGAGGGATCTTGGTGGGGGTCTGCAGCCTCTGGCCTTGGGATATAGGAAAAGGGGACTGGAACGGAGCGACGTGGTCTGCAGGCATGATGTTGAACCCGCTGCTGTCCTCCCATGGGGAGGGTTCCCAAACTACAAGAGGAGCCTTGTAATTTAGGGTCGGAGGAGTAATTTGAGGGCACCGGTGCTTTCCCAGCATCCTCCGAAAAGCCCATCCGTGCGGTATGGGGAGAGCAAACCGCTTCCAGCTGAGCATCCCAGCTAGGAAGGGTGGGCTTGGTGGCATCCCATCCTTCACCTCCTTGTGTTTTCCATCCAGGAGGGCAGAGCCAGAGGGAACACGGGCTCTCTTACCCCTCCGACACCCGTTTTCAGGTAATGGGCTTTTCCATATTTCACCTTCCAGTTAAATAGCCTGCACTGGAGCCTAACTGGCCTCCCCGCGCTAATTGTAAGCAAGCGCACCAATGCAAACCATTCCAATCGAGTGCTAATTTAATTAGAAAGCACCCATTTTAGTTAATTTGTTCGAGAAGATCACTGAAAACTCCTGGAGAGAACAGATGTTCCCCTCTCCCCCGATGAACATTCAGGGGTTTGTAAATGGCTCCACTCAGCCTTGTTTAGGAGAGAAAAGAGGATTTTATAGCTGCAAACGACCCTTTCTGTAAACATTTTACAGCTCTCTGCACGTTTGAGTGACGATAAACCCCTAGCAACTCGGCGGGCTGCAAATTTGCGACCATACGGCTATCATTTTATTGTCATATTTCACGGTCGTAACGTTAATGGAAGATGCTCGCTACAGTCTTTTTTAACGGCTCCGCTGAGCACGCTCAAACGCTTTGGCTTTGGAGGAATTCGTGGAGGTGCAGCGCTTCTGGGTTTGTTTACAGCTTTCGCTTCTGGAGGAATAACTTTGGAAATGCAAATCTCCTCCCCTTCTCCGCCGGGCTGGACCCGGAGCTTGAGAACCACCCCCAACGGGGATGGGCAACCCCTTGGTGCCAGATCCTGGTCACCATCACCTGCAGCGTCTCCTGTAACGCTGCTTCTGACACCAGCTCCTTGATCCAAAATTTCGGCAGCCAGGTGCGGCAACCAACCCTTTCGATTGGTGTGAGCAGGCAGCAGAAGATGCCTTGGAGCCTTCCAGAGAGCATCTGCATGGTTGGAGATGGAGGGTTCGGACACAAGGCGGTTGTCCTGGGGTAACAGGAGCCGGCATCCGCTGTCAGCTTTGACCCTGGTAAGACTTAGTGCAGTTTGGTCCTCTTGGTAGGGTCATGGAGGAAATGTTTTTGTGGATAAAATACAGGGAACTGGTTTCTCTATGCGGTCACAAACATCTCCTCATACATCCTGTGCTCCAACCCTCACCATCTCGGTGTCCTCCACTGAACTCGCTCCAGTGTGTCCATGTCCTTCTGTACCGGGGAGCCTGCTGAGCTCCAGGTGTGGTCTTGCAAGTGTTGGATATGTTCACAGCGCTACCAAATTAGCCTGATCCTGACGAGCGCTGCTAATGAAGCGTTTAGCGCAGACCTCAGCGCTGAACTCAGACTTCTTCGTGATAAATCTGAAGCCTTTTATTTATCCGGGGGAACAAATTTATATATATTTTTCTTATATTGCTCCATTATCCCTTGTGCACCTCCACGGAGAGTCTGGCTCCAACTTCAACCACCTTTAGGTAACTGAAGACAGAGATTATTTGAGCACAGTTGAAGTCAGCAATTCCTCATTAGTCTTCTCCAGACAGAACCCACCCCCTGGTTCTGTCTTTTCCATCCCAGTTAACTTCAGGAGGCATCTGAGCCACCTTGGACTTATCTGAGGTTCTTGAGGCCTGGTTGGTGGGGAGCAGAGTCTTGGCCTTCCTGGCAGGGGTCGTTGCCTCTTTTTGGAAAGGACCTTGGCCATGATGAAGTCATGGACCTGCAGCTGGTCCACCACCATGGCTTCTTCTGTGGATGGGACGACATCCGTGTCCTGTCCTTCAGGTGGGGCAACTTC